CTTCACTGGGGCTCTTTAAGAGACTGCTCAAAATATTATTATTCAGACAGGCCTTTACAGATAATGCACCAACAGAGTGCAAAGGTTCTTATAGCCACTAAACTACCAACTCCACCATCTTACCTGCTAATGTTTAATTGTTAATTTTGCATTAATTAATTATTTTTATTTTGCTTTTTAAGTTAATTGACTTATATGTTTATTTTATTTTTATATTGTGGCTATGTTTTCTGGCTATTATTTATTCTGTTATTGATTTAAATTTCAGAACACTAGAACACAAGTATTTACTTTGATATGTTAATTAATATTTTAATTCTGTCTTGCCCTAACAATATTACTACATTTAACTGTTGTATGTTTTGTTAAGAAAAATATGGATAGAGTGATAAACTACAAGTCAGGAGATCTGGGTTTAAATCTCTGCTCAGCTATTGTGAAGAGAGGGACAGGAAGACCCAACTCCCTATCAGTAGGCCATCCCTCACACGACCCCAATTGGAGATTGACAGAGAAATTGTGCCAAAACAAACTGAAGAGAACCTAGGAAAGTTAGAAAGTCTGGAAAGAAATAGAAACAAAGGGCACAGCTAGAGGAGCTGGGTGAAGGGATAAAAAGGTTGGAGAGAGGAGGAGAGGCAACTGAGGAAGAGCAGGGAGGAGATAGCTTCAGATGTTAGGTACCAAAAAAAAAAAGCCAAAGGAGAGAGAGAAAGAGGAAGAGTATACCTGACTTGGAAAAGAGGATCCCTGGACCAATGAATGGGTACCGTATTTTTCGCTCCATAAGACGCACAGACTTTCCACACCCCTGTTTTGTGGGAAAAAAGTGAGTCTTATGGTGCAAAAAATACAGTATGTTTCAAGGTTCCCTGAGAATTTGCTGAAAAAGAATGGTAAAACAGAGCAACCGCCACCGCCCCGCCCCAGGTAACCATCATATTGGGGTGAGAGAGAATGGAGACAACAGACGAGAGAAGAGAGAGAAAGAAAAGCATAGAGTACAGGAGGAGAAATTAGATAAGATTCAGAAAGAAAGACAGCAGAACCATGAGAAAGAGCAAAAAGGATGAGGATAGAGTGGGAACCGTGGAACACAAGACTTTCAATGGGTAATTCACCTTATGACATTCATTCATGGGGACTTGAAAGTGTGAGGAGATGGCAGAAAGAAGACTCAATACTGACAGGGAATCAGGTTGAGAAGATGTAGGAAACGACCCAAATGACAGTGACTAAGGGTCTTTAGGATAAACCACTGGACTTGTTGAATGGACCTTGGGACTTGACTGTGCTGGGTGGATCATCTGAAGATGACAACTCTCAAGTTCTGGAAGAAGTTGTAGTGGAAAAGTTACCCATTAAACCAATAAAGCTTGTTACTGTTAAACATGAAAGGGAGTCTTGTCCATCCATGGGAGTCTTGGCTGATGAGGAGGGGGCAGCTGGTCCAGGTCATAGCCATGGAAACTTAGCGGGAGTTCACACTGATAAAACCACTCCTTAAATTTCTCACATTCATAGAATCATGAATATTTGAGTTGGAAGGGGCCTAAAATGCCATTGAGTCCAAAACCCTGCTCAATGCAAATCAAAGTATATCTGACAGATCATTGTCCAATTTTCCTTTAAAACCTTATTAGGGTTACTCTGAGTTGAATGCAACTTGATAGTCTAGACTACTGTTACTGCTTTAAAGCAACACTGTAGACTGAATAAATATTATTAAGTATGATGAAGTAAATAAATAAATAAATGTGTGCTGGAATCCACACCTCATCCAGATACTCTCACCACTGGAAAAGGTGACTGGAATACCTTCAGTACAAACTAAATCTACTATTCTAATACTACAATACCAAATTTTACTCAACAAAAAAATATATAAGAATAAGCTCCACAAACTTCTCCCATCCAATCCTATTCAACTTTCACAATTATGTAACCAACTAAAATGTAACAGGTGTAGATTCTGGCCTGGAGCTGCAGTGACAGAAACACATTCAGCTATTAAATGCTTGTCAGATGGCAAGATCCAGGAACACTGCCAAGAAAAAGGTAACAACCTTTTGGGTACAGCTTTTTCACTGTTGGTTTCCAATGTCCTTAAACAGGTACACAACAGACAAGCAACAGATTACATGCTGTATGTGAAGGGACAGAATGCACTATTTGAATATCTATCAAGTATGAAATTATCAAAGGAAAAGGAAAAGATAAAAGGAGATAAACCTACCCTGAAACTTGGTCCAAACCCGGTTCTCCTCTCCTAAGGAGGAACACTGTTCATATGTTCTTCACAAGGACAGTGTTACCAACTTTTAAAACAAACTTCATGCTGTGTCTTTACCAGATATGCAAAAATACAGTATAACAAGCAAATTCAGCAGCTTAATTTCTCCAGAAAGCCATATTAGCTTGGTGCAAGGCAAAAAAAACATGATAATCTTTATGTGGCACTTTCAAAACAGCTTTACTGTTCCTTATTTTATCAAAAAAAGAACTTGTCTACAAATGTTCATTCCTACAATAAAATCTGTCAGTCTTCAATAGTATTTCTTATTTCATTGAAAATATGTATTACTGTCAAGTCACAGTAATGAAAAGTTATCTAGACATCTTTGGAAACAAAAGGTTTTAAAGGCATCATCTTCTTTTCTACCCTTGGACTGTTGCCAACTCTTCAGACAGCTCCTATTGCTGCCCTTTACCAGCAATATGGCTGGCAATGAAATGAGCCTGTTCATCAGTATGCCATGAAAAGCATCACATGCTAACTTTTGCATCTCAAACTTGTGTGATAATATAGATGCCCAGGACTAGTTAGAGCACCTGGCAACACAAGCCAATGTGGGAAAAAAGCAATTGAGTCTTTCCACAAAGCCAGTTAGCCTATGTCAAAAGGCACATATGTAAAGTTAGTCAGAGCAATGTAAACCCTACATGCTGTGGCAGTTAAACTGCTGGACTAGGACAAACGGGATCCAAGTTCAAATTTTCACTTAACTATGACTCTTAAAAAGTAACACTCACCTAGTAAAAATTCTCATAGCATAAACTACCTCACTGGACTGTTGTGAAAATATGTTGGAAGGAGAAAGCGATGTATACCACCAGCTCAAATGAGAAGAGACTGATATAAATGTAAGTGTTGTTAGCCACCCAGAGTGGTCAATTGACCAGATGGGCAGGATATAAATACAATAAATAAATAAATAAAACCTAGAAATCCACCTCTCAAAGGCGCGAAAATTGATCTGCTAAAAGAAACTCATCGTTTATTCACTCAAAGGCTTCTTAAGAAATCCTATTCAAGGCATTTTTTTCTCTACTGCAAAAACCATCAATTTTTATTCAATCTCAACTGTATGTTTACAACAACATCAATTGCAACAACTAAAACTTTTCCACATTCATATGACAAAAATCTATGCCATGCATTGTTGCCTCTCAGATTACCACAGCAGCAGGGTCAACCAAAACCCCAAGACTTTAATTGCACAGGTCAAAGAAGCACAGTTTCGGTTATGCACAGATCTTTTTTCAATAAATAAATAAATAAATATTTAAATAAATAAATGCTCAATGGATACTGTGCTGCTATTAGTTTCTCAGGAAGTGGCCTGAGAAAGGTGGGTCTTGGATGTTGTTGCCCATTTAGCCGGCTGTCTCTCCTAATATGGGAAATTCATGTGGTGGCTGGGGAGGGGTTGGAGCATGCTGTAGTTAATACAGTATATATTAACCAATTCTCTCATCTGGCTGGTCTCTGTCTGTGTGCGTGCATGTGTGTAAAATCAACTAAATCAACTGTTTATGCTTTGTAGATACTTTTTTGGAGGCACATAAGTTATACATGGATTTTGAAGTACACAGGGGCCCATAACCCCAGCATCAGTGAAAGGAGAAGTGTATATGCGACAACAGCAGTGGGGCCCATGAAAATAGTTGGTAACCCAAATCCCCATAATAAGGTTCAGGCACAAAGTCAGTGAAAGAAGCTGGAAAACCGCAAGACAAAGTCAGCTATCTTAAGAAAATAGATTCAAGAAACTTTGCTTCCCCCTGCCCCCACCAACGCCAACGTTTTAATAAACCCTAAAAATCATCCTCCCATCATGACATGTTTTCAGTTGGCCTCTGTAAAAACTATTATTCAACTTTAAAGAACTGGAGCCCGAATTTCCTCTTCCCTTCCCATCCCTTTCTCCTTTTGTGCTGTATCTTTGATATTGTAAGCAGAGTGCAGCAAACAGGCAAAGATTCCTTTCTCCTGATGACCCATTTATGTATTCGATTCTCTCATATTTATTCTTTCTTCCAATGAATGCATGGCTCATTTCCTCCCGTTTATCCTGAAAACAAACCCCCCAAGAAAAAGTCAGGCCCAGAGAGTGAGTACAAATGACAGATCCAAGATGCTCCTCCATGTGTGTTTGCCAGCCAAGGAAGAACCTGAATCCAAGTCCCCTGAATCCTCGTGAAGCCACAACATCCTCTTGGGGAAGCAGTTCCCTTTCCCCCACCTCCACTCCTCCCGTGAGCTCAAGAAAAAAAGAAATAAAAGCAGCCATCATACCCACCGGCCAAAAGGCGACGAACAGTTCTACTCACTCACGCGATCGTTCACACCCACACATAGACATAGACACACACACACACCGCCTCAATCACAGCCCGGCCCCTCGGCATAAAGATGAGGGCGAGGAGGAGGGAAGAGCGGCGGCGAGTCCTGAGGGAAAGAGCCCTACCTGCCCGCTCCGGCCTCTCCCTCTCTCTTCCTTCCCCCCTCCCCTTCACCCGCCTTAAAGCGACAGGGCAGACCAGGCCGGGTTGGTTTTGATTTGTTTTTCCCTCCACCGCCCTCAGCCTGTCCCACCCTCATCATCATCACGCCGCTTCCACTTCCCCCCCAATCCCCAGCCCAGCCCAGCCCAGCCTCCCAAACCGGCCCCGACGCCCTCCTTCCTTCCCTCCCTCTCACTCTCTCACTCACTCACCAGCTTAGGCTTATTCTTACTCTCGTCCTCAGAGAAGCGGCCGCCGCCGCCGCCGCCGCCGCCTCCAACGCCACCCCGCTTGGGATTCATCTTGCCCGGCACTTCCTCGCCGCTGCCGCCGCCGGCGCCCTGGTTCTCCATGCCTTCCTCCTTCCCCCCCCCCTCAGCTCTCCTTTCCTTCCTCTTTTTTTTCCTCCCTCAGGGCCCCATAAGCGCACTCTAAAAGGGGAAAGGCGGCGTCCGCCTCGCCCCACCACCGAAGGCTCCCTCTTTTGGGCGCCGCCTCGCTCCCTCGCGGGCTCCTGTCAGAGCACTCCCGCGCACGCGCACGCGCAGGCGCGCCTCGTCGCTCTCCCGCCCTCCCTCCTTCCTTCTTTCCCGCCCGCCCGCGTTCGCTTGGTTGCCGCCTGCCTTCGAACTGGCTTGTTGCGCATGCGTCTCCTTCCCCGGACGAGGGCGTCGAGACGTTCGCTTTTCTAAAAGGCTTGAGGAAGGGAAGGAAGGGAAAGGTGAGGGAAAATTGACGTCGAGAGCCGTCGTCTCCTTCCCCGGACGAGGGCGTCGAGACGTTCGCTTTTCTAAAAGGCTTGACGAAGGGAGGGAAGGGAAAGTTGACGTCGAGAGCCGTGTGCACATGCGCGCGCCGCTGTCTCGAGTGCTGAAGCGTTGACGGAGCGCCGCGGCCTTCAACTCTTGGTAGTGGAGAGACAACTCGCGTTAGGACCCGGAAGCGCCATAGGAAGAAAAAAAAGAGAGAGAACGAAGCCCAAGAGCGGGCGTGGGAGCCGGGAAGGAAAGCCTGGCGGAAGTGCCCGCTCGGATGGAAGGCGAGCGATAAATCCTCGGAAAGGAGCGGATTAAGAAGGAAAAGAAAGGGAAGAGGCGAGAGAGAGGGACGCCTCTCCAGCAGGGCGGGCGAGGGGGGGGAGGTTAGGGCCCGATCTGTGTGAATACTCAGAAAACCAAACTGCGACTCCCGGAAGAGGAGTTACAACACATGTCTCCGTAAAAACAATTACCACGTGCCCCGACCCGACTTTTTGGTACGGAATTAAACAAGCCAGTTTTCTCGGATTTCTGTGACAAAACTATGGGGACTCTACACATTCTCAGGTTAGAGGCCGCAAGTCTAACCCGAGTGAACAGTCTTCCCGCAAAGACCAAGAAGGCAGCGACTCCGGCTTGAAACGACTGACTGCCACCTGCTCTGGCCATTTGGGAGGAAGGACTCTTTTTTTTGCCCCGCTCTTCCTGTGAATTACAGTGACAATGGCAGAATGGTTGTGTTTTGCGCTACTGTTGTGAATAATGTTTCTTTTGCATACAGTCACGGTGCAGTCTTTTGCATGCGTGTTGCTGAGAATTGCATCTGTGTTTAATGGAACTTATTCCCTAGTAAATATATATATAGGACTGCAGCTTTAAACATCAATTGATTTGTCACAATTTGTTTACATGTTCCCCTCTCTGTGTGTGTGTGTGCGTGCATGTATTTACATGTATATAGAATCACTTCCTGTCATAAAAAGGAAGGCAGAAGGATGCAAGGTCTCTGTGATACTAATTCATGTAATTCAGTTGCAGCTGGTGCTCATTTTGTTTGTTTGGTGGGACAAACAGCCAGGGGTGGAAGACAAAAGACAAATAGAGGGGAAGACAAAAGTGGGTAGGTATAAACACACAGGTGAAAACAAACAAGCAAACACACTTATGCACAGCAAGAGTGGAATAGAAAAGATCCCAATTTCTGGTAAGAAAGCAAGTAGGAACTCAGGCCAGCCTTGGTTTGGAGTGAGGGAAGGATGCAATCCTATTGTGCAGTAATTTTGTATCAGGGCCCACCACAGTACTCTCAACTCTGCACCACCTCAAACTATCAGAAAGTAAATATGCCCCCTCCCCCAGGGACACAATCTTTAAAAAAGCCTAACTATTCATCCTGATTCTTCATTAACTAAAGAGAATTGCATATAACAACTAACCTCATTGAACTTCTGAAAAGTCACTCTTTGCTGTGTTTATTATTTATTTAAAATATTTATACTCTGCCTTTCTCTTCAAGAGGACCCAAGGTGGCTAATTCAAGATAGGGGTGAGGAAGCTTTGGCCTTCCAGATGTTTGAACTTCAACTCCGAGAAGCCCAAGTTAGCATCAAAAGGAGTAAGATATCGTGCACTTTGTATCTAGACATTTGGAGTGCCAAAGTTTCCTCATCCTAGTCTGGATAAATCATGCCTTGTAATTATTCACCCCAAAGAAAAGGCATAATTGATTCTATTCATGCTCATATAGATTCCAGAACAATGCTTTAATGAGCTTTGCAATCTGGCTCAAATTAAGCTGTGTAGCTTCCACTGGAAGAAGGAAACTTTTTATTAGAGGTGAAGGGGAGGATTTCTGTTATTTGTAGCACAGAAGAGGAACAAAGCATAGTAGATAATATCAATGGAAATATTAGTAGAATTGCATTTTTCCAGATAAGATCTAAACTCAGACAGTGCCCCTTACTAAAACAGCAGGGATCCTAGATTTTTGAGGAACACAGAACCTACCATTACAGCCTCCTGGCGCAGTGGTTAAAACCTGCAGCTAAAACTGCTCACGACCTGGGGTTCAATCCCATGTAGCGGCTCAAGGTTGACTCAGCCTTCTATCCTTCTGAGGTCAGTAAAATGAGTACCCAGCTTGCTGGGGTGAGGCAATGTGTAGCTTGCATAATTGTAAACCGCCCAGAGAGTGCTAGAATCATTATGGGGCGGTATGTAAGCAGCATGCTTGGCTTTTTTTTTCTTGCTTTTTTTGCTTTTTACAGGGGGGGGAGATTGATTTTATATCAAGGCAAATATGTCATTTAAACAATTGTTAATAACCACAAGAAAAAGACAAATGTAAATAGATTTTCTTCCATTGATTAATTCATATACCTCTCCAAAAGTATGTATGTGCACTCATTGCTATTATATTTCTGCTCATATAGATTCCAGAACAATGCTTTAATGAGCTTTGAAATCTGGCTCAAATTAAGCTGTGTAGCTTCCACTGGAAGAAGGAAACTTTTTATTAGAGGTGAAGGGGAGGATTTCTGTTATTTGTAGCACAGAAGAGGAACAAAGTATAGTAGATAATATCAATGGAAATATTAGTAGAATTGCATTTTTCCAGATAAGATCTAAACTCTTTCAGACAGTACCCCTTACTAAAACAGCAGGGATCCTAGATTTTTGAGGAACACAGAACCTACCATTACAGCCTCGTGGTGCAGTGGTTAAAACCTGCAGCTAAAACTGCTCACGACCTGGGGTTCAATCCCATGTAGCGGCTCAAGGTTGACTCAGCCTTCTATCCTTCTGAGGTCAGTAAAATGAGTACCCAGCTTGCTGGGGTGAGGCAATGTGTAGCTTGCATAATTGTAAACCGCCCAGAGAGTGCTTGAATCATTATGGGGCGGTATATAAGCAGCATGCTTGGCTTTTTTTTTCTTGCTTTTTTTGCTTTTTACAGGGGGGGGAGATTGATTTTATATCAAGGCAAATATGTCATTTAAACAATTGTTAATAACCACAAGAAAAAGACAAATGTAAATAGATTTTCTTCCATTGATTAATTCATATACCTCTCCAAAAGTATGTATGTGCACTCATTGCTATTATATTTCAACTATATTCACTTGGAACAAAACATAACTTTTTAAATAGAGTTTATGGGGGTGAGTAGTGCAAAATCTTTGGCCATCAAGCCAATAGCCTTTCTTACTGAAACCCACAGCTTGAGGGGGAGGGAGGGAGGGAAGGGGGGAGATTGGAAAACAGTTTTGGTTGTGTGGGAGAGCTGGTGGTAGGTGTCAACTATAAAGTTTTTCTAAGTTGTGCTGCTTTATTGCATCTAGTTAGAGAAAACGGTATTTTCTATGTGTTATGTTCCATGCTTCTGGTCTTCACCTGTCCATTTTAATTTATGCATTCACCATATTTAGGCAATTCTATATGGATAGGGAACTTTTCACATGATTACCAACACAGTACAGAAATAGCTTTTCACTGGACCAATTTACTGCATTTTTTAAATCTAAAGTGGAGGCCATCTGCCGGGACCTGTCTCCTTTTTTGAACACAGTGAGTCGAGCAGAGATGTCCAGCGCTCCGTCTTGCCCGGTAACTTTTGACTCCTTTCAACCTGTTACGCCTGATTCTGTGGCCAGGGCGCTTGATCGCTGCCGTGCCACCACCTCCTCCCTTGACCCTTGCCCAGCCTGGCTAATCAAAGCAGCCAGGCCTACAACAACGGAATGGGCCACTGTAATAATCAATGGGTCTTTCCTTGAGCGCAGGTTTCCATCTGCCCTCAACGAGACACTCATTAGGCCCATAAGAAAGAAACCAAGTTTGGCGGCAGACGAAATTGGCAACTATAGGCCCAGCGCCAATGTTTCTTTCTTAAGCAAGGTGGTTGAGAGGGTGGTGGCCGACCAGCTCCAGGCGCACCTGGATGAGACGGATGCCCTGGATCCATTTCAGTCAAGCTTCAGGCCGCGCCATGGTACAGAGACGGCATCGGTCGCCCTGTGTGATGACCTATTGAGGGAGGCTGACAGGGGCAAAGTGTCTCTGCTGGTCCTCCTCGACATCTCAGCAGCCTTCAATACCATTGACCACGGTATCCTCCTGGGGAAGCTCTCTGAGTTGGGAACTGGTGGCCTGTCACTGGCCTGGTTCCGTTCCTTCTTGGAGGACCGCCCCCAGAGAGTACAGCTTGGGGAGAGTGTTTCAGCCCCGTGGAGTCTCAATTGTGAGGTTCCACAGGGGTTGATTATCTCCCCAATGCTGTTTAACATCTA